CTGAACTACTGCTTCATATCTCTCTGGTTGTTTAAGTGTTTCTCTTGGTCTCAAGTCATGCTCATTTCTCAGTGTTCCATTGTCCTCTGGTCGTTTGATGAGAGCTTATTCTTCATTTCTGCTGCTATAGACTTAGACTGCTGGAGCACAAACTGAGCACATTTCCTCACTCTGCTGTTGTCTTTAGTCTCTCTTCTCTACATGTTTATTGTAATTTTTCTATCAAAAATGTTTTTTTTTTGTCTCTCTTCCAGAGGAAAATACACCTGGACCAGTCCTGTGATTCTCTGTGTCTCTTTCCTGTCTCCCTAAACCCAGCCAGTCAAGGCAGATGACTGCCTGTCTTGAGCCTGGTTCTGGTTCTGCTGGAGGTTTCTTCCTGTAAAAAATGAGTTTTTCCTCTTCACTGTTGCCAATGTGTTGCTCGGGATGGGAGACTGTGATGAAGTGATTCAATGTAATTTGCTGGCTTCTTGAAGTTGTTTTTTGGTGTACAGTTCCCTGAGACAACATATGTTGTGACTTGGTACTATACAAATAAACTGAACTGAATCGAATTGAATTAACAGTTCATCATCTGCAAAATCTCTGAATGTACCTGAGCATCCAGCTCCATGATATGGGACACTTTGTTCCAGCCAAAGCCCACAAAGCGCTGGTCATACTCAGGGCAGTCTCGTTTCACCACAACATATGGCTCAAAATCTGGTTCCCACTCTACTTTATAGGGTGTGGTGGATGTTCGCCATTTGGCATAGTTGGTAGGAGCATGACCTTTTGGCCACACATGGTACCTGGAGGGGCAAGAGAGGTGATTATTTATCCAATGAGCTGTTGTAAAAAGATAAGGAGTTGAATTTTGGGGTTTGTCTTGTGGTACCTGAAGGTGTAGAGAGTCCCCATGTCCAGCATGGAGAGCAGCTCGGCTTTGGATTTTGGGAAAGAGAGACGGTAACGCAGAGTCTCAAAGGCTGGAACCACCAGGGCTTTTTTTGTGTGAGCCATGTCCAACTGCACTACAGACTTTCTGCAACAGCAAACAGGAAATAAAAAATGAAATGGCAGTATTTGTTCAACTAAAAGTTAAGCAGCACTTTAGCTTGAGATCATTTGTTAAAATTGATTAAATACTCATTTGGAAGAGAATCAAATGATTCTTACAGCTATTTCATTWATGTTAAGAAGACAGTCAGATTTAAGAACAAAGAAATAAGGTTGTATGGATACACTGAACTTGTTTAGTTAGTTTAGTTACTTTACTGTTACTGTATAGATTTCAGGTTTTTGAATAACTCATTGATAAAACAAGTCGCAACTACTAAAAAGATATTTGAGCCACTGGATAACTACACAGCACAGTAGTGCCTCAGATTATCTCAAGAAACTTTCATAAAACAGTTCCACAAAATGAGTGCAGAGACCAGTCTGTCTTTATGCTCCTTCTGACAGTTTATAAATTAGGTAGAGCCGGCCACATCCACACAGATGTGAGCTTAAAAGAAACTGAGCTTCACTGAGCCAAAATGAGCATGGAACAGAACTCAGCTGGTTGATTGTGTGACAGACATCTGCATTGTTTTATTTTGAAAACATGATATTTTTCTGTTTGTAGCCTTCTGGCTGATGCTGAGTGTTGAGCTGTGGCTGTAGTGCAGTGCAGGCTCGCGCTTTGGGTAGCTACTCATGCCAGGTGCACGCATTCTCGCCAGCTGTGAAGGTGTTCATACATYTCAACACATTTGGACATTTTCCTGTATAATGAGCCTCAAAAATCCATCAGTTTTGGTTAGGTCTTTGGTACAGTCTGCTGGCTTCTTTAGATTTATTTATTTATTTTTGTGTGTGTACAGTGCCCTAGGACTCCAYTTGTTGTGACTTGGCACTATATAAATTAACTGAATAGAAATGAATTTAATATCTTCCAACTTTGATTTTGAGAATGTTTTTACTAAATAAATTGCTTTTGGTTAAAATTACATTCCATACAGAAAGAGCAACATAATATGTTAGGTAGGAGGGMTTTTTTGTACTGAACAAACCTCTTACTTTTGTTTACTGTGTGTAAAATGAGTGCAGCACTTCTGGTCTCACCTGAGATAATCATAGAGGCCATACATTGGCAGGAAGTCCACATCAGTCAGAAACACATAGGGTGTGTTGGCATTTTTCAGTGCTATGTTCCTCACTAGGTTGACTGGGTAAAACTGGCCCTCCTTATAAACAATGTGGTAGCCTACATTCTTGCGGTTCTTGAGAACCTCAGAGGCCTGAGCATAGCGCAGGAACTGTTGAGCTTCGGTGTCAGACATGTAGAGTGCCAGGCTGATAGGACCTTCCCAATGTTTACAGATGGCCTCCAGCATCTGAAGTCTGCATGCAAAACACACAAGAGAAAGAGCACAGTGATGGTGTGTTCAAACCAAAATTTAGTTTTCAAGGTAATGTGTTCACCTAAATAGATCCCAAATGATTAAAACTTCTTCATTTCTACTTCAGATGTAGCTGCCTGAATCACTTACAGCTATGTCATTTATGTTAAGAAGCCAAACTTAGTCAGATTTAAGAACAAAGAAATAAGGTTGTATGGATACACTGAACTTGTATAGTTTATCACCCATCACCATAATGTGAAATAATAGTTGATTTAAATAATAGTTTTGAGGTTGATTAAGGGTACAGCACAGTTTTACCACAGTACCTGTCCATGGACAGCTGAGCCACTAGAGTGATTTCAGTGTCATCCCCAGTGGGTGTGTACTCGTACTGCAGAAAGTACAGGTGCACTCTGTGAATCATTACTCGCTCACGGCGAAAGTCGTAACACTGATCATCCTCGTCCAGATCCTCCAGAGCCTCCTGCAGCTGAAGAGATGTGAAATTCATATGGAAAGTCATCATCATTTTCTAAGAAAAACAAATATGATCTGCTGAACTAGTTTTCTGGAAATAGACAGCATTTTGAGGAAAATCTTAGAAAATAATAATAA